CAGCACGGGTGGGGTCCTGTTGCGGGGGTGCGACGTGGAGGTACCGGGCTTCAGAGTGCCGGCCGGCTGTGTGGACTGTCCACGGCTGCTTGGGGCCCGCGGACTACGCGCTGTTGGGGGATGCACGCAGCAGGCCCGCTGCATGCGGCGGCACTCATGGTGATGCTGCGATGACGCCATCCGCTGACTCCTACGACTGCCTGCCTTCGCATCGCCCACGGCAGGTGTGCGTGTCGACCACCAACCGGAACTTCCCCGGCCGCATGGGGCACAAGGAGGGCCAGGTGCGCACACACAGGGCCAGGGCCGCCGCGGCAGCGCCTCGCACGCAGAGGGTGCCATGCGCTCTCCGAGCTGGCCGGGGCGCTGCAGCTGGAGGACTTGTTCTCAACTCGTGCTGTCGAGCGCATACCTTGCAAATCCCCCTTCTCCCAACGACTGACTCGTCCGCGGCCATGCTCGCCGTTGCTGCCCCCCCCAGATCTACCTGGCGTCTCCCTTCACCGCCGCAGCCAGCGCGCTCGCAGGCCGGGTGTGCGACCCCCGCGACTACTTGCAGTGAGGGGCGCGGCGCGCTGCTTCGGCGCGCTGCTTGCGCTCGGGTGTGCGCTGTGTGTAAAGGTACTGGAATTTTCTGTGGCCGATGGGGTGCGCGTGTCTAAGAGTGCGCGCGTGCTTTGCCGCTACTTTGTAAATGGATCATAGCAAAGGTTTCACTTTGGAGGAAGCGCCGGCTTGGTTCTTGCACGCTTGTTAGTCGTGCACTGGGCTGACCGGCAACAGTTTGTGATCCGCCTCTGCAGTCCAGGGCAGACCGCGTCCGATCAACGCCTGTTCATTCTGAGCTGTTGAACTGTTGTGGCATAAGATCAGGTTGGGCTAAAAGAAAAACGGAAACTTCTGTGCCCGCGCTGGGCTAATGCCCGGGACAGCGGCAGGGTCACGAGCGTGTGCAGCGGGCAGTCAGAGTGTGTCACGAGTCCGCACTCCGGTGCCGCACCGGGGCTGTTCAGACCAGGTTCAGCCCGAGTTGGTTCACGAGCAAACGGCCCCTATAATTTACCAGCATGATGCCATGCTCTGCTGGACATAAGGCACAGGCCAGACCGTTCTCAGACTGTGCACCCGCTCCCCACCAGCCCGCGGGCCCAGGCAGCCGTTGACTGGTAGGATGGATCGCACAGCCGGCAGACGATTAACCTCGTCGAGAATGGTGGTGCTGCTGGCGCTGCTGCTGGTCGCGGGAGGCAGTGCAGCGGAGAGCAGCAGTGCACCTGCTGCTTCCAACGCAACGACAGCTTCAGCCCCCAAGCTCAAGGCCATGAAGCAGCAGCTCAAGTCTAAAATAATACCTACAGCTGGGGAGGCGGAACTCCCGAACGGCATCGGGGATGTGCTGCCTTCGGGTGGGTGCCGTATGGGGCACTTCTCACGGGAAGCATGCTGTGCCTGTGCATGGCGTCTATGGCCTCTCATCACTCCGTAGGTGATGATGGCAGGTCTCACACCTCCATGTCGCCTTGCCGCGCAGGGGCCTGCAAGCCCGACGCGGCGGCGTTCTGCAAGGACCTGAAGGCTGGCGACGGGAGGTTGGCCGCGTGCCTCAGCAAGCGGCTGCAGGCGGAGAAGAAGGGCAACGTGGCGGGCCGCATGGTGTCCTCGGGCTGCATGGAGGATGTGGCCAAGTACAAGATCGCTCGCAGCCAGAACATCAACAAGGACCCTGCGCTCGGTAAGTGCAGGGTGGGCCGCATCGCTTCACGGGCCTTGGGCAGCAGCGTCGCGCGTGCCGCTGTACAAGCCTGCTGAAATCAGCTGCAGCGGATGGCGCTGCGGGGTCGTGGCGGCGCATCGAGGTCCTGCGGTAAGCGCCAGCCTTGGACGCGCGACAACGGCGTAATCATTCGATCCCATTGCACGCGCCGCGCACAGCGCGGGCCTGCAAGGATGATGTGGCGAAGGTCTGCCAGTCTTCCTCTGACACTTCGACCCCTGGAAGCGTCGTGGCATGCCTCAGGTGCGTTCCGAGGGGCAGCAACAGCCGGAGCAAGGCGTGCGGCCGGCGCCCTTGGCGATAGAGCAGCAGTCAACGGCACACGAAAGCAGGTTTTGGGGCGCCGACTTGCTCCTGGAGGCTGGCTGACGGCTGCAGCTGGGCGAACACGACAGGCGGAACAAAAGCTGCTCCGCCTGCCGCGAGCGCGCTTGCTTGCAGTGGTTATTCTGCGGCCGCAGGGTTTGGCTCGGGGGCCGAAGGCATACCAATGCGGCGTTCAAGCCGAGGCAGCATGGCACTTACAAAAATACGCACTGGCAGTTCATTCCAGCTCTACTGGCAGCCTTGCCCGGGGGTCTGACTGCCTTGAACGGCCTTCCTGGTGCTGGTGCCCCGCGTGTATTGCAGGACAAACAGCCGCAAGCTGTCGCCCTCCTGCCAGAAGGAGGTGCTGCGGACGCAGCTCGAGGTGGGCATGCGGCCGGCGCTGGGCCGACCGAGGTCGCCCATGATCACCCCGCAGCCTGTGGAATCGCTATTGGCTGTTGCAGAGCAGCACTGGCGCACAAGGGCATTGCACACCTGCCAAGTGCCAACCCCTTGCATGGCTCTGTGCCCGCCCCTGACCCTGCGCACGCACCACAACCCCAACCCCTCCTGTGCGCCCCTCAAGGCCGCGAACGACTACCGCTTCGACGCGCGGCTGTTTGCCACCTGCGACGCGGCGGTGCGGGAGCACTGCGCCAACGTGGACCCGGGGGATGGGCGCGAGCTGGACTGCCTGGTGGGTTTGCGCGACCTATCTGGGGCGCGGGAGGGGTTTTAACAGCGTGAAGGGGACGTCGGTGGGGTTGATGGCCTGCCTGGGACGCGGGTGGGTTGGAAGGTCATTTCCAGGTCATTTCAACTGCGCCAGCATCTAGCGTGGACGGGAGAGTTTTGAGGGGCAGCGCGTGTGTGATGGCAGCAGGACCACCGCTGGCGCCTCAGCACAGCGTGCGGGGCGGCGCAGCGCAACAGCTGCCGCAGGGCACGTGGACGGGCAGCTGCTGCCCGGGTGCTGAAGCGGAGGAGGTTCGCGGAAGCAGGCGGGCCAATGCACCCAGGGCCTGCATCCTCCTGTGGCCGACTCGTCGCGTGCCGCAGGCGGACAACAGCAAGCAGCTGGGATGGGCGTGCCTCGAGGAGGTCATGCGCTTCCAAAAGGAGGTGCGTTTGTCACGGTTTGGACCGGCCGTAAGAGTCGCAGACTTGGCGTGCCGCAGCGGCGCCCCGGCGTCCATGTGTCCATGTGCGGCTGCATGAGAGGGGGGACGGGGGCGGAGCTGCAGGGGCCGGCAGCCGCCCCAACGGCGGGCGGCCCCTTGTGCATGGCAGACGCGCTCTTGTTGACGGGCTGTTCGCCAGCCAGTAGCCGCATGCAAGCTGGCTCAAGCCTTCACCCAGCTGCAAGTGTGCCAGTCATTGCGTCAGACACACACACGTGCGTGCACACATACACACACACACACACACACACCCCAAAGGCCTCTGACGACATCCGCCTGAGCTTGCGACTGTTCAAGCGCTGCGTCAACGACCAAAAGAAGTTTTGCAAGGACGTGGAGCCCGGGCACATGCGCGTGCAGGTGGGCGGGTGGGTAGCATAAGGTGTGCAAAGCAAGGGGCTCGGAGTTGTAGGTGCAATTTGGCAGGTCGGGCGCGATGGCACCGTGGGAGTGTGTGCAGACAGTGCAGTCTGACACCGAGACACACACACGTACATGCACACGAGCGCGCACGCACACACTTACACACACGCACACCCACACACACACACACAATCAGGTGTGCACACACATACTCACACATTCTCACACACACACCTACCCCACATCACACACACACACTTATGTATCTGCAAAACACTACACGTGCCACACCAGGAGTGCCTAGAGGACTCAATGGATGAGGCGGGGTTCAGCCCAGGCTGCAAGAAGGACCTCGAGACAGTCATTGCCAAGAGAGTCTCGGATTTCAGGTACGGAGCAGCGTCTGGAGAGCGATTGGAGAGCGGTTGAGGGCCGGTTGCAGGGCGGTCGGAGGGCGGTTGGAGGGCGGTGGGGGCCCGTCAGGCTGGAGTTTCTGTGAGGGTGGGGGCCACTTCGCCTGCGCCCGAGCCCGCACATTTCACAGGCTTGGCAAATGTGGGCTTTTGCGGCAGCCTCACGATTTCGATTTCCCCCAAAAGCATATCGCACCGCGCCTCATCGCCACCCCTGACCGCCGCCCCTGCCCGCCGCCACGGCCCAGGCTCGACACTGGCATGCAGGAGGCGTGCGAGCAGGACCTCCAGACCACCTGCTCCACCACTGCTGACGACCTCAAGGACGAGAAGAAGCGCCAGACAGCCATTAACTGCCTGCAGGTGGGCGCAGCGTGAGGTTTGCACGAGGACGGCTGTCACGACGAGAAGTGGCGCTTCATGGTATTGCCGCCACGCGTGTTGGTGTCTGGGGCTGGCGGCCGGCTTTTGAGGCGTGCGGGATTGGGCCCTGGGGGGGCCCGGTTGTGAGGAGGGCGGCTGGCCTGTCTTTGCGGCAAGCCTGGGGTTGTTTGATGTGACCCGATTGGATGCTTGGCCTATTGGCAGCCCAAACACTTTTTGAAGCGGCAGTCTGACCACTGGTTGGACTGAGCAATCCGTCCACTTTGTGGAATGGCAGTCCGACTACTGGGCAGACCGGCAGTCCAACCACTCGGCTGCCTGGCGATCTGGGCACACGCTTAAATATCGCCCTCTCTCGCGCTGCTCGCCTCTGCTTCCTTCAAAAAGCACCCCCACACTGATGCATGCTCATGCACACACGCGCGCACACACACACTCACACTCTTTCACACGCACGCTGTTATACACACACTCTCTTACACACATTCACACCAACATTATCGCATTCGCTCATCGTTGCTCTTACGATTGCAGTTGCTCTTACAAGCACATACGCCCACTCAGCTCAACCCCCCTCCCGCCCCTCAAACCCACGCGACCACAACCCCCTCCCCAGACCTTCAAGGACGAGCTCAAGTCCCAGGAATGCCGCGACAAGGTCCACCGCAAGATGAAGCGCGCCGCCAGGGACATTCGCTTCGACGACGTCCTGGCCAACGCGTGTGTGGAGGACCGCAAGACGTTCTGCAACGACGTCCAGCCGGTGGGTTTGCACAGCCCCGCACGCGCCCGCCTTGTGACGATGACACGCCTTGTGATAGTGATGTGTAAGGCGCAGCGGCGGGGCCGGCGTGAGCGCGTACATGCGATCTTTCAGTGCGACACGGCGGCCGATGAGGACCTGGTGTTCCGACGCTCGTGCCGCCGCATGACATACGGGCTGTCTGATCTTCCCATCTCCTCAGTGTATTTGACTTCTCCTCGATCTCGGCCGCTTTGGTCACCCGCCTTCCACGTCCGCGTGCGCGTCGTCGCCCCCAGGGTTCCGCGCGCGTCATCAGGTGCCTCCAGGAGAACCGCGGCGTCCTGTCGAAGCAGTGCACGGCGGCGCTGTTTGACCATGAGGTGCGCGTGGGGGGGGGATTTTGTTTTGGCTTTGTTTGACCACGAGGTTCGTTTGTGTGTGTGTGCGCGCGCGCGCGCGTGCGTGTGTTTGTGTGTGTGTGTGCATGCGTGTGCGTGTGTGTGTTACTGTATGTGTGCGTGTGTGTGGGGGGGGGATTGTGTGGCGGCGCTGTTTGACCAAGAGGTGCGGTGAAAGGGAGCGTTGGGGGGTGGGGGTAATAAGATACATTTTGAGGGCGTTTTTGGGGGGGTTGGGGGGGTGTTTTTGGGGGGCCGGAGCTTGCACCTGGAGAAGGAGGAGCCTCCTGCCGTGCCTGGAAGCTGGCCGAGTACGTGGCTTTCGCCTGTTTCAAAGCCCTTGTCATTGCGAAGTTTCGAGGTCGATGCTTCGCGGCCAAGCTCGCATTGACACTGAAAGCTCAGCCGCACAGCCGCGGCTAGGCATGCGCATGCGCATGCGAGGGGTCGGCAGCTGCGACAACGTCCCTTGGCAGCCGGGTCGAACCCTGATGGCGTCGCTTAGACGCAGGCGTTCCCACAGTCGTCCCCACCGCCTCCAGACCCTCATACCAGGGCAGCCGACAAAACCTTGTCCTAGGCAACGTATATCTTGGCAGCACAACCGTGCTGCACCGCCCCTCCAACGCACCCACCACCCAACACACACATATACACACACACACGCTCACGCACACACACACACACACTAACAGGTCAAGATGGCGGAGGACATCGACTTCAAGTACCCAATGCGCAAGGCCTGCGCCTGGGAGGTCTCCACCTTTTGCCCCAACGTGCCGCACGGCCACGCGCGCGTGATCCGCTGCCTGCAGAGCAAGCTGGATCACGAGGACATGAGCAAGTGGGTTCAGGTTGTTTGGTTGAATCTGGGACCGGTTTTCAGGGGGAGTTTGAAGTGGGGGTTGCTTGTGCGGTGCGGAGGAGCAGGTGTCTGGTGGCCCCGTGCGCAGGGGCTGCTGGTGCATGCAACCCATGAGAGGCGGCGGCGGGCTGCCGGCCGCGCCCGACCGGCCTTGCGCGGCCAGCGTCGGCGCGGCGCCAGCCCTGCAATGCGCCGACTGTTTGCCGCAGCCTGCTCCTCGGCTGAGTCCCCAGGGTATGCAATCTTCCACCCCAAAACCCAAGCACCATTATTGTTTTTGCCAGAAACCAGCTATGTGCGGGGCTTGTTGAGCCTTTAACTCCTTGCATTACATCATCCCAGGGAGTGCAAAGATGAGGTGAACCGCGGTTTGAACCGCGCGGCGACGGACTACCGCCTCAACTGGCGGCTTAACCACGCCTGCGAGCAGGTGTGCGCGCGGCGGGCTCCCGCATCTGCCTCACTGCCTTTTTCGGCCACATTTGGACGTGAATTAAAGGGCCGAGGGCCTAGTGGGGCCTAATTCTTTGCCATGGATTCAGCCGCAACTATGCGCGCACGACGCTGAAGGATGCACGCGCGCCGCGGCCGCCTTATTTGTGTGCCTGTCTTTCTCATCGCGCCCCCTCCCCCACCCCAACACACACACACATACACACACCCTGCAGGACATCACCGCACTGTGCTCTGGCCTGTGCTCCACGAGCAGCAGCCAGCCCTGCGGTGGCGTCGTGCTGCACTGCCTCTCAGAAAAGCAGGACAACATCACCAGCCAGGCCTGCCAGGAGGTGCGGCCGGCGGCGGCACACTCGCGCTCCATCACCTCACCTGCACGCCTTGAACACGGGCCCGCCTCGCCTGTAGCTGGGCGTTGAGCTTGCAGGCTAGGCACGGTCGCTCAGCTGCCCTCTTGGGATGCCCATCCTGCGCTTCCAGGGCGGTTGCTCAGCGGCCCACACTGCCAGGATGAATGCGACAAGTTCTTCTGCAAATCATCATCATGCCGGGCTGTTGTACCCCAATAGCCTCACACAACCACACGACACCATCACGCCTTCAAACGAGCGACGGCGCCCGTTCAACAGACCCCAACCAACCCCTCGACCGCGGCAGGAGATATTCTACTACCAGCTGATGGAGGTCAGCGACTTCAGGAATGACGTCATCCTGGCCGAGGCCTGCAGGCAGGACGTGGAGAAGTACTGCAAAGACGTGGAGCCGGGTGAGCAGGAATCTGGTTACATCCTGAATGTTCATGGCACGCGATCGACCGTGTCCCGTGCCGCATGAGTTGCATTTGCACGGACGCGTGGGGCTGATGCACTGGGACCCGCCACATGAGCGCGACATGCCGAATGCAACCGCGCTTTGTTGCGAGCAAGCGCGGCATGCACCGTCCAGCCGCCTCACGCCCGCTCACGACCCCCCCGCGCCCTGAACGCATCGCCGCGCACCCCTCCCGCGGCCTGCAGGCGAGGGCCGGGTGCATGCGTGCCTGCGCCACCAGCTGAACTTCATCAGCGAGGCCTGCCGGGCGGAGGAGAACAAGCTGGCGGCCGTGGAGTACCGGGACATCCGGCTGAGGCCAAAGCTGGCCAAGGTTTGTGGGCGGGGGGTGAATGAGGCCACAGCTGGCCAAGGTGGGGCGTGAAAGGGGGTGCGATTGCTGTGCACCTTGTCTCTGCTTGTTTGGCATTCTGGGATGGCATTTGGGCATTGACACTGCACTCGAAGCTGATTCGGTCTGCATGCACGCACACACACACACACACACACACACACACACACACACACACACTCATCTTCGTTCGTGCGTGTGCACACACAGGTTTGCAGCGAGGAGCGCAGCGTCTTCTGCCGCGACGTGCGCCCCGGCAGGGCGCGCGTCATCAAGTGCCTCATGGAGGCAATGGGCAAGCCGAATTTCGGCGCCGACTGCCGAGAGGAGCTGCACGCCAGGTCCGAGGTTGTGAAGAACGACTACAGGTTTGATTCCGGCATCATGGACAGCTGCGCCGACGAGGTGAGCGCTTTTTGGCTGCTTTTCTGAGTTGGAGGGGTGGCTTTGGGGTCCTCTTGAATTGCGGGCGAGTGGGGTGGTCTATTGGCTGCATTTGGGCATATGTGTGGCAAGCGTGTAGGTTTCAAGTTTTCAGTGGCTTGCTGGCCGGCTGCGTGCGCCCTGGGGATGGAGGGTCGTGGGGGATGCTGGCGTGCCGTTGGCGTCCCAGGCGTCAGGTGGGGGCGCTGTTTTCAGGTGGCTAGGGCCCGGGTGGGCGTCGTACGCAGCCACACGGGACGCCTAGGGCTGCGTTTATGGGCGGCCGCTCGTGCAGGTCGTTCTGCGTTGCGCTGCATAATGTCGAGTTCGCTTCTGGCAGGTCTCCAGATACATCACCTTGAGCCGCTCTTTTTTGTTCTTCCAAACACATAACCATGCATGCACTGCCCCTGCGCAGAAGCTCTCACCTTCAGGGCACCAACCGCCCCCAACCACCGCCAACCGCTGCCAACCGCCGCCCTGCCCCCCAGGTGGACCATCTCTGTGAGGAGGCCAAGACCAAGCTGCGCGGCACAGCCGCGGTGCTCAAGTGCCTCATCCAGAAGTTCGATGAGGCAAACAACATGTGCCAGGCAGGTTGCGTCAGCCCCGGACCAACTTCCACCGGCCCTAGTTGAATCCGCCTGCACCTGCCTAGCAGGAAACGGCGTTGCGGAGCGCCAACAGCAGGGGAAGACTGCCCCTGCGCCCCTGGGGCTCTCCCACGCCGATGTTCGGCAATTTCTTTGAAACGGCCCTGTGCTCGTCCGTGATGGTGTTGTTGCATGAGCGCCCCTTCGCTCTCTTTCCGGCAGCTGCCAATCTTCCAAGACTGGCATACCCTGCGCCCGGCCGTCCCCCTAAACACACACACACACACACACACACACACACAAACACGCATGCGTGCACCACCCGCAGGCTGAGTTGAGCCGTGCCGTGCGGTTCGCCCTGTGGGACTACGCCTCAGGGTCCCCCCTCACCACTGTGTGCGACGCCGACGTCCAGGGCTTCTGCCCCAAGGTGGGGGCTGATATGTTGATTGGGATGTGTTTGTGTGTGTGTGTGTGTGTGTGTGTGTGTGTGTGTGTGTGGTTGTCTGGACGTGGATGTGGGAGTGTTGTCGTGTGTGCACGGGTTTTGGGGGGGGGGGTTGCGGCTGGCGCCCCTGCGCCCGTAGTTACGAGCGCCATCCCGCTCGCGCCTCCATGCGTGTCTCTAGTGTGCCGCTCCACCACGCTCCCGCCCGTCATGTCAACAACAACTGGAACACTCACGTGAGCGCGCCCCCCACCCTCCCCGCGCCCCCGGCGCCAGAGCACCGCCACCCGCCCCGGCGGCGTGTTCACGATCGGCGTCGCCGGCCACTGCCTCAGCAAGGCGCTGGTCGAGGGCAAGCCCCTCGCGCCGCAATGCAAGGCACTGGTGCTGGTCGCGGCCCCCAAGGACAGCCGGGTATACCTGCGCTATCCAGAGTCGGCAAACGCGTTGGTGGCGCGGCTCGCAGACATGCAGCGCGCAGCAGGGCTCGAGGGGGTGCTTGTGGACCCCTATAAGCGGCAGGGCAGCGCGGTCACGGTCACGGGCTGGGTGGCGCTGGTGTGCCTCGCGAGCATCGGGGTCGTGGCGGTGGCGGCGCTGGTGATCGTGTACCGGCGGGTAGCGGGGATCGACAAGGCGCACACGCAGTATGTCAAGAGCGGGGACGCCTGAACGATACCCGCGGCGCGCGCCGCGGCCTGCTTGTTTGCTGTGGGGCGCCTGGGCGCCCCCGCCCAGGTCGTCCGTTTGTTTGGGATGTTGTACATCTTTGGTTTTGAGGCAGGTGGTTTGGTTCTTGTCATCCAGCTCTCTTCCTTTGGGTTCTGTGCTCATCGTTTTCATCCCTACTTATCCCTATGAATAGTAATCACCAGACCCATGTGCCATTCCAAGGCCGACGGACGGTTTTTTATCAAGCACAGCTGCAGCGGCTAGCTGGAATTTCCTTTCTCATTGAGTCCTCTTTCAACATCACCCGAGTGGATCAACTCACAGAAGCTTTAAGGAAGTCGCATCATGGCGCATTTGACAAGGAAGCAAGCGATGAAAACAATCACAGCATCACTGATGAACAATTATGTGTTTGTCACATGAATGTGTGGTCACCCACATAAACTCAACTCCAGTGCTTGAAGGTGTTCGGATACCAGCAGTTGTCCATCAAGCAGTCAACTGCAGTGCTTCAAGGCGCATATGGCAGCGCCTCTGACTGCACAAACCCGCGGCCACCTTGGCAGTGGCCCGCCGCCACCCCCATGTGCACGAGGCCAGCCAGCGCCCCCAGCAGTGGCGCGTTGTAGTGCAGCCCCACGCGGCTCTGGGGGCTGGACCTGTCGTCCGAAAATGCGTCCCGCGCGTCGGGGCCGACCACTAGGGCGCCTGCGCGTGCAGCATCAAAGCCGGTGTGCAGCATCAAAGCCGGTACACTGTCAAAAGTGTTGAGCATAAAAGCTTCTACCCCAAGATCAGACAGAAGGCCATACCTTGCAGCAATAATCCAACGTCCACGCCCTTCACCACCGACCCCTGCGGATGACTGACACACCTGTCAATGCGTGCGGATTCGGCTCTGGAGCCGCGATGTTGCAGGGTGCGCCGCCGCTGTCTGGGCAGGCGGCCAGGCGGTGCTGGGGGCGCGTGGGCGGCGCCGTTCCAACCCCGGCGATGAAGGAGCGCTCAGGGCCCGTGGATCCGCCAAGGATATAGGTGATCTGACAGGTGACAACGGCAGGCAAGAAAGCGGCGGCGGACTGTGTTGAGCAGTGCCAAACCGGCACGCCGCTTTGGGGCTGGCTGTGAGTAGCACAACCTCTTGTGCACATGCATGCAAGCAACCAATAAACCTGGTAAGCGTGGCAGGCAGTTCAAGCAACGCGGGCAAGCGTTAATGCTATGCATGCTTGGTTCACCGCAGTGCACCAACGCCCGAGTTGCAAGCGACTGCATTTGACTGCATTCGCTTTGCTGGAGGGGGTCTGACATTACCTGTCCGTGGGCAAAGCACCGCACGTTCGTCTGCAGCCGCTGCTCCAGCTCGAGGCCCTCCGCACCGCCTCGCGCGGCCAGCAGCGCCAGCATCGCCTGCCCCGCGGCGCTGGGCAGCGGTTCGGGCCCCATCCAGCGCAGCCCGCGCGGCGTCAACTGCGTCACGTCTGCAAACTCGTTCTGCGGCGCATGCAAGGAGGCGTTTTGTGTGCTTTGGCAGCAGGCAGGCGGCAGGATGGCACAAACGGCCGCATAGCTGCTCAGGTTGCTGAGCACTGGACATGTGACCGCTCAAACTGCTCATGGACAGCCCAACAGAATGCACTTCCTGAACCACACTGTTGCATCGCCGCCCCGCTTCGATGAGACATGCCCCTCGACGTGGGCCGTCCCATACCCTAAAACCGAAACCCTAAACCCTGGATCTGCCAATATCGGGTGCGCCCACCTTTCCCAGCATCCAGCCGCGGAGCAGCAGCAATATTGGTCGCTGGAAATCACGTCGCTCCGCCCGCGGCACTGCACCCGCGAGCAGCACGGCAGCGCCGAAGGCGGGCCCGCTGTCATAGCTCGTGGAGTAGTATGCGGCGCTGCCCCAGGCGGCCTCACGCTGCCAGTGGAGTTTCAGGGAGGCCTGCGCATCAGCCAGGTGTTCAGGGTCCCCTGCGGATTGTCATTTGGGGGGGGGCACACAGGAATGCGCAATCAAATCTGTGTGTTTTCCAGTACAATGCTAAGAGGGGTGGCCGGCAGAGGCTCAGACACCTCGATGGCACTTTTGAGGCCACCGCCAGCAACACAGGCGGGAGCAAACGAGAACAGCTAGCACCAAGCACCCACCCGACAGTCAGGCCTGACCATGCGTGTGGAATGGAATGGACACCACGCTCTTGGCCTGGCCTTGTTTGCTGGCTCAGTCTTTCCCCCTTGTCTCCGTCGTCCACCCCCCTGCAAACCCTCACCAGTTGCCTTGTACAACCAGGCCGACGCCCATGCCAGGTCATCGTCCACGCTGGAAGACGGGTAGGCGCCTCTGACACCACTGCCGCCGCCGCCGCCGGCCCCAGCAGACGGCCCGCCCGCCGAGCAGTCCAGGACGGCGCAGTACGTCGCGTTGCTGCGCACGCGCAGCTGCCGCGCGAGGGCGAGCAGCTGCCCAGCGCGCGCGAGGGTGCGGGCGGCGTAAACAGGGTCGCTTGGGCGCAGCGCAACGGAGGCGGCAGCGAGGGCCGCGGCGGCGGACGCAGCAACTTCGGCGCCGCCGAGGCTTGAATTGCTTATTCTGTAGGGCGGCCTGCATTTCAAGAGGATGAGGATGGGGCTGGTTCAGCAAATCATACAGTCTGCTCTTCGTGTGTAAAGGACGTGTGTTGAATTGGGGACAGGGGAGCAGTGAGGGATGGGGGCGTGCGCCAAGGCAGCATGCGGCGCAAGCAAAGCGGTCCGAAACTCTTTGTGTTAGCTTTGCCCTGTGCTGAGGCGGCCCACCTGTTGCCTGGGCGGTTGTCCAGTCCGCCCCAGCTGCTGTTTGTGCCGACTGCATAGTCTGCAGGGTCTCCTACCTGTGCGGCAGCCACATTGCATGGCGGCAGGCACCAGCAGTGCAGCGGCAGCAATCAGCGGCAGACAGATCAGTGATGCAACCAGCAGGCCAACCGTGCTTTTGCGCACAGCGAGAGGGCAGCCCGAACCAACTGCTTGGGCCATGACTCCAGCCACACAGTGCAGGTTTGACTGAAGTTGCACAAGGGCCCCAAACACACTTCCTTCCCTGGCACTGCAAGCCCGCCCACCACACCCCCAACCAAGACTCCATCACTCCCATCCCCGCAACAGATTTCTGCGCCTGCCCCGAATTCATTACCGACCCGCCCTTCGGCAAAGCAGAGGTGCTGCCAATTATTTTCACCCACCTGCACCACCAGGGTCCCTTGGTTGGGGTCGTGGCAGGCCATGAGGTAGTCAACCCCGAAACGCAGGGTGGACTCCACTCGGAGCGTGATGCCCGCCTGCAAGTGTTGGGTGGCAAAGGGGGGGGGGGGAGGCCGGGGAGCTGTGCATTGAGTGAGTGACTGTTGCAGTGAGAGCCTCAACGTCATCATATGCGTGAGACCTTGGTGCATCGACCTGGACAGCGACTCCAGAATCCCAACGCAGATGACGAAATTTGCGGCAAAACCCTGGCGCCTCCCAACGGCTCTGCGATCTTGCACCCGCAAAAACTCCACTTGCGAAACCCCTGCTAGCCCGCAACCGAACCCGCACGGTACCAACGCCGACATTCACCATCCGCTCACACTCGCACCCACACCCGCACCCCAAGCCAGTCCCTGCCCACAACCCACTTTTTGGTAGCCGCGTGGGAACTCCACCAGGCCCCACGCTATCAGCGCGACCGCCCACGCCTGCGGCAGCGTGGACTTGATGAACGTCGCGCCGTCAGAGTAGAAGCCGCCAGGAACGACGTCCCCCAAGCCGCCGTCGGACGGCAGTACCGCGTCCAGCCAGGGGTAGGCGGCCGCAGCCTCAAGGGGCAGGGGCCCGGCGGCGCGCATGGCGTCAAGGAAGCCGGCGACGGGCGGCATGGCGGCGGTTAGGCTGTAGAAGTTCGGAATGAGCAGCCACAGGCAGACAACCGCCGCGGCCGCCAGCAGGGCGCTGGCGGCGTGCGCGGCGGCGACGGCCCAGCGGAGGGGGCGGCCGCGCGAGCAGATGTAGACGAAGAAGAGCGCAGGGGGGAGGGCGTTGTAGGCGGCCCAGCAGAGCGCCAGGAGCTGGAAGGCGTCGAGGTGGCCCGCGGCTAGGGCCTGGGGATGCGCATGGGCGGGGATTCAAGGGGATGCCTCAGTACAACCGCGGGCACAGCGAAGAAATGGATTTCAATGGATGACATCCAAGACGGGGGGATGTTTCAGGAAGGGCTACTAACTTTTGCAGATGGCTTTCAAGGGTTCAGAGAAAAGTGAATGACAAGCTAGGCAGCTGAGCTGTCACATCCTTGCCGCTGCTCTGTGCAAGCAGCCAGAACGCCACCTGTCTGCCACTCCCCAGCCTCCCGCAGCCAGCGCCTCCACGCCACACCCTACTCCGTCCCCAGGACTTCCAGCACCCGCAACCCACCTGCAGGAGCGTCTCGGCCCTCCAGGCGTTCAGCGCGCCGCCCGGCCGTGCCGCCTGGTACGCGCCGGCGACCAGCGCAAACACGCTGACCGCCAGGCTCGTCAGGAGCCACCAGGGGTCCAGCACGCCGCCCATCGTGTCCAGATTTGCCCGCAGCCAGGCAAAGCGTCCCTGCTTGCCGTGTGCTCCACCGTCCTCCGAGCCGCCGTGGGGCGCCCCGTCGCCCCGGAAGAGAGTGGACGTTGTCGCGCCCTTGTCGACTGCAACGGTCACCTGGCGCGCGGTGACGACGCAGGAGCCGTCGGGGCCAACGGTCGACCCAGCAGCGCGCAGCGCCGCCGTCGCGGTCCTTGCAGTTCCAAATCGCGGGGACGGCAGGAGTCCCGCCATCCCGCCGCCGCCCGGCGGCCACGCGGGCGCCGGTGGGTCCGTCCCACTCTGGCCGCCGCGGCGGCGCAGGGTCAGGGTCCTGGTGGCGCCGTGGACCGCGCGGCCGAGGAGGGTGCCGGCCGCCACGCTAAAGGCGCGCAGGCGCTCGAGGGCGTCTTGGATGACCAGCCGGGCCACTCCCGGGGGTGGCGCCTTCTTGTCTGTTGCCTTGAATCCAGAACGACCCTTGAGGCCCATCTGGGAGCTGCAACGTTGGCATAGCATTTAGGGCCGCGCGCAGAGCTCCTTTAGCGGCCGCTCACTTTTGCGAGGTCATGGCAGGGGCCGGCGGGCGAGCTGATGCAGCATTGACGCGCAGAGAACATCCTCTTGCTACCTCACAAGCCTGAGCTAATCGCATCCTGTGCCTAGAGTGAGGGGTACACGGGCCTGCGAGCCCCTGCAAGCAGCACAGTGGCTTGTACCAGCGGTCAAGATTTGAATCTAGATCTGAGCCTGGCCACAGGGTTGCAGCACGCAAGCAACCAAGCCACTCCCTAACTCACAGGAGGGTGTTGACGATTGCCTTAAGGAAGGTGAAGCATAGGACGTGGTTCGACACCGCCGCCAGCCACATGGACCGCATCTGCCCCGGCTCCCTGCAGAAGCCGGTGAGAAGCTGCCCCGTCACCAGGTGCAGCATGCTCGCGGCCGCAAAGTGGACGCTGAAGGTGCAGGGGTGCAGGCCCAGGACGAGGGAGTTGAATGGGATGAGGCCAAATATGACGGATGTGGCCACGTTTGCGAAGTATGACCAGGTGCCGTTGGTGTAGAGCAGGCGATGGAGGGGGGACAGCCCGCGGCGAAACAGTGGGCAGCGGCGGCTGAACAGCACCTGCGAGGGATGAATGTGGGGTACAGCAAGGTCCGTGTGCGTGTGTTTGGGATTTGGAGGACGGTGGTACTGCGTAATACCCTCAAAGATTTACTGCACAGCACTCCCGACACAACGTAGCCTCTGCACTGTCGATAAGAAGCGGCTTTGGCCTTCACAAGTTGTTGCGACACAAGTGCAACACGAACAGCTGGAGCCCCGCCCAAGCACTCCATCAGACAGGAGACGCCCAGATGCCGCCCGTGCTGCGCTGCTCAGCTGCGTCCCCCCTCTCCATGTGCACCTGCATGTGCCCTTTGCACCATCGGGAGCGCTGCCTGAATATGTTGCGCGCCTCCTCAGGCGCCTCCCCGACTGCCAGGTACTCAGGCAGGTAGCGCCCACTGAACCCAGCAGCTTTCAGCTCCATGGAGAGGGCGTAATCTAGCAGTGAATAGTTGATGATTTGCGGCGTAGGTTACGACGTGGGCAAGGAGCGCATTGCTGTTCTGGGGTCAATGGCGAGGGAGGGACGACAGGTGCACGGCTGCCTGCTGATGGCGCGTCAGGGTGCATCAGGAGCTTGGCTCCGCCCCTCCTGAGCCACCCGCATGCGCTTGTCTCTCAAGAAGAATCCATCGAGCTCAGACAGAGACAATACAAACACGCGTCTGTGCTTCCAGGGGAAAACTACCACCCAACTTGCCGAGGTTGCCGCCCCCATCCCGCCCCTGCGCACCCTCGTGCACCCGGGCCCGCTAGTGCCCACGTTGTCTCCCCACCCACCCTCAGTGATTGTGTACTCTGGAAACCAGCCCACCGCCGCCAGGGCAGCCGCGCGGATGCAGAAGTTGGTGCCAGTGCAGGCGACGTAGCCAAGCGCGTCGCAGCCCGGCAGAACTAGCTCCCAGAACTGCGCGTTGGAGTTGTTGAACACCTGCCGGCGCGGTTGATTGCGCGCTATTGGGCCAATGTAACCATGTGATCGATGCTGGATCAAGGGGCAGCGCGGTTGGCACGCGAGGGTACGTCGAATCCTCAATGGCGGCAAGGCGGCGGCGGCAAGACGGCTGGCAGCCTGCGTGAGTGGTGTTGCCAGGGGGGTCGGCACCCACGTCTGTGTCGGTTGGCGCATTGGTGAAGGCCTGGGGTGTGAGGCAGAGCGCCACCTGGTCATCCCAGAGCACCTCCAGTACCTGGACGGCCGGGGTTGGCATGGGAGGGAGGGGCGGCAAAAGCGGTGAAAGTCATGGCAAGCAAGCAGGGCAACGCAAGGCCTGCAGCGACTTGCACTGGGCACGCAGCTTTGGCCTTGAACCCTGATCCCTTGAGAGCAACCAGCCGCCAGGATCCACCCTGGCCCTGCTGTCGACGTCATTTGATGATAAGAATTTGAGTTTGATACCCAATCTCAGCTGCACAACCACATGCGAAATTGATAGGACAGACTGGGCCCAAGTATGCACCTGCCTTGCAAAAGAAGTTGCGTTTTGCCACCATGTCGGCGTCAAAAACCACGACCACTTCGGACTGGGGGATGTCGGCCGCAGCGCGCCCCTCGAAGATCACGTTGCGCAGAGCGTTGTTGAGGTTGGCGCTCTTGCCGTTGATCTCCCCCTGGGCGCGCTCGCGGCCAGTGATGTACCTGGAAAGGCAACAGGGGCGTGGAGAGTGCGAGCAGGAGGCGTGCTGGTGAGTCAGTCAATCAGCATGTTTCAAGCGCCTCAAATCACCTGCGCCCTGCATCTTTTTGCACGCTAATATCATGCACATCCCCCTTGACGTGGATTTGCGAATTGTGTCGCATCATACTCTTGAGTCCCTGGCAAGCCCGCCCCGACGCGGGCCAAGCGCACCGCGCCTCCGGCCCCAGCGCAGCCACCAGCTCCTCTTTTTGCGGGTCCTTCCCGTCATCGCTGCGGCCGCAGGACGAGGGAAGGATCATGTGCAGACAATGCGAGCAAGGGGGTGGAGGTCGCGCGGAGCGATGAGAGGCGGAAGGTGCTGGCGGCAGGCCAAACAACACAGAATTCCGCAGCACAAGTACGATGCGGCAATCTCGAGCACAAGCAAACCTCGATGGTGAGTGCTCAATATTTGTCATTATTGCTTGCCCCGACACATCGCATTGTCCTGTTCCCCCTCACCAAAGGTACACCGTGCGGCGGCAGCCGGGGGGCAGGTGCGCGTCCAAGGCACCCTTCAGGGTAGCCGCCACAGTGGCTACGCTCTCCTGTGAGTTCAGGGGCACGCCATCAGAGGGCGGACGCGCCAATGGTGAGAAGTGCGGGAGTCGGGCAGTCAAAATCACAACAAGCTCAGGTGTCCCAAGGGTGTGCAAATGGGGATGTGTTGACAGATGCTGGTGGCTGGGCCAGGAGTCTTGTTCGCCATTGCTGGTGTGGGGATGGGATTTGGAGCAAGAGCGTGTTTGTTGGACAGTGCATGATGAGCATCAAAACCAGGCCAAGGGGGGTGCACATCAGTGAGTGCGGTCAAAGGTTTTGAATCATGACAGACAATACCGCCTCATGCACTATTATTCACCTTGTAGCATGGCACAAGGACATGCACCGAAAAGTGCTTCTCTGGTGGCAGCAGCCAGCGGCCGTTGTCCGGCGGCAGCCCCGGGGTGTGCGCGCTGGCGGTGTGCAGGACCAGCAGCAGGCCGTAGGGCAGCACCGCAGTGACGCCCACCAGCTCGACGGCCAGCACCAGCCAGCCATACCTGCCGGGAGGGGCGGGACAATTGTAGCTTGGACCATTGCGGGGCAAGGTTCAGGTCAGAGCAGCTGAGGTGGCTGAAGTTAAGGGTGTTTCACCGCTAGGTGCCAGCATGCACGCAGGATCGCACACATGCACGCACAGGCATACACGTACAAATACACGCAAGCGCACGCACGCACACACGCACGCACACACACGTGCGCATGCACGCATGCACGCATGCACGCACCCACGTATGCGCACGCACACGCACGCACGCGCGCGCGCACACACACACACACACACACACG